TGTTTAAAAGAGGCATAGCCCTTGGATTGGCGAACAGGAACTCTGTGCCATATCAACACCTCCTGTCGGTTAAAATACTGCATTTTAAAAAATAAGCTACAACGTATAAAACCAAGGTCATTTCCCACAAAGTGTTCATGTTCTCTGTGATTATAAAACACTGTATCTTGTAAAATATTTCCAGTTTTGTTAAACTTGAGAAGTACTAATGCTTATTATAAAAGTGTCATGTCTCCTTGTAGACGCCTAAGCAGTATAATTTCTCTCATTTGGAAATTTAAGTTGTGGTTATTATTGTATTTAAGATTATATTTACTATAACACATTACAATTGTGATTCTCAGACCCACACAACAAAAGTTATAAAACATGAGACTGTCTTCAGAAAAAAAAAAAAAAAGGAGCTATTTACAAACCAGGACAGGAGAGAAGATTCCTGGTCCTGTGACAGGTACAACACCCTTTAAAGCGTGTTTAGCATTGGAAACGGACCCTTCCAAAGCCAGTCATCAGAAGCAAGTCAGTCTTGAGTACATTTCATCCTTCCTTGCTCTGTCGGTGTGCGTTACTCAGGACAAAACTGATACCTAAAAGTGCTAACCTCATTTTATTTCCTAACTCCCCATTTGGCTAAATTTCTACAATGCAGAAAAGACAGGATGAAATGGCCACAACATGGAGGAATGCCCCAGGTAGGAGGACCAGGGGAGCCTGTGTGCTGCTGGTAGGTTTCTTACAGAAACACTTTCCAGTTGACTTATATGCCTAGCATGCCTTCCAAAATGACCCCCCTCCCAATCATGTGTGTTACAGTGACCGGTCCCACTGGGGTCACTCTTGTAGTATTGACACAGGTCAGTGCTGCAGCCCCTGTGGGTGGCAGAGATCCTACAGGTTGTGAGACTAAGCAGCACCTGCCCACAAGAGTCCATGGCAGGGTGTCCCTGAACACGCCACGGAAGCAAAGCACAGGTCTCCAACAGCTCTCTTTCACTTAGCAAAATGCTGTGTACAGCTAATCAACAGCTGCCCAAACCGGGATGGGAGGTCACATCAAGGGATTGCAAGACTTCCTGTTCACAGGTACATTTGCATCTACGAATACCCAGCAGGCTCTGCACCTGCGGCTCAAACATCAGTCAGCTTTAGGCCAGCTGCAGAGAGACGGTTACGCAGCAGGTGTATCCGCCATGCCTCATGGAAGGTGACACTGTCCAGTTGACATGGGTTTGCTTTGAAATGATAGCGAGTTCACATGAAAAAAAAAAAAAAACAAAACAAAACAAAAAACACCTTGTTCTGACAAGAAACCACTTGAGACGCTAGAATTCCTCCCAGTCTTGGGATTCTCCAGATCTGTCTTCACCCATCCTTCCTGTTTCCCTGAGGAAATGAGTAATATTTACAGAATTCTGCTGCGATGCTCAGCACATTCTCTTGTACGGATAGTTCTCGCCTCTTTTCTGAGAACCTTCTCCAGTGGGAGCCACCTTTGCCTTACAGAGCAGCCAAACGGAGAGACAAAAACCGAGCCTCGCAAGCCTGGCTCATTGGGAGCCCAGGACTTCTGGTGAAGTATGACGTAAGGGTACCAGAGACCGCAGGCTTCAACTCATGTCACCACGGATTGCAATGGGGAACAATTCAATTCAGAAATGTTTTGCAGTGCACGTGTTGGCATCTCTGAAGAGACTTTTGGAAAGCTCAAGGGCTGCACCTGTCTTCAGTGCTGTTCTCTACTGATAACGTCCTCCTGCAGCTTGGGTGCAGGAGGCGGGGCTCATCTCTCAGGAACCTCTTGGGCACAGAGCTGTCAACGGCACTAAAAACCTCACGCTGATTTTGGAAACTCATTGCTTTCTTCCTGACACTGGCTTTTACCACTCCAAAGGGAAATGTCCCAGACATGATGTGGCAGAGGGGTTAGCTTGTATGACAGGCCCTGGACAAAGCAGCTCCTGTCTTGTTGAAGATAGCTACAATAGGGATGGAGGATCCCTGGCTGACTAGCCCCCTGAAGATGGGCTGGAGACAGCATGCTCAGGGTTCCTACATGGCCTCCTTGCTACCTGGAGGGTTTTCTCTGTATTGTGTCACTGACTTCCATAGACTAAGTGTCCATACTCCAGGAAGGCTAGGAATGGAAACTATTGCCTCTTGAACACATGGCTTTTGCTTCGTATCTGGCTAGACGATGTCCTGTCAATGCCTTCTCCCGGAGAAATTAGAAACCCTTTTTTGGAGGAAGGGGTCAAGGGAGAAAAACAATGAGGCATTTCCAGTGGACATGAATTGTAGACAGGGCTGTTATCCCTGGGGATGCACACAACTTGAGCTAGCAGCCACCCGTCCTGAGATGACTCTTCCCATCGTTCCTTTCCTTATTTCTCCACAAAATGCAGACACAGAAATAACTTTGTTTCATGGAGATGGCATCAAATGAAAAGTCCAGCTTCATTTGGTTCCCCACATAACAAAATAACTACTTCAGAATGTAACTCACAACAAATGTAACTCATATAATCAGCAACTGGATGTTGCAAGTCCGAGCTTTCTGGTCCCCTGGAGATTGTGCCCTTCCTCCCAGAGAATGGGCATGTGTGTCCAGAACTGTGCTCAGGATCTGTCTGCTCCTGGAAGCCAGATGAGAAACACACAGTGCCTAGGGCTGGCCAGTAGACTGGAGCTGGAGATGCAGTAGACCTGGTGTGATGAAGGCATTAGGGAAGATGTGGGGTCCAGGTCGGGTGCATTCGGGTCATGATTTTGCCGACCATGTGCGCAGTTAGGCAGAAGCGCCCTGGGGCTGTGTCTCTTGGGGAGGCAGCCACGGCACCTTGTGGAAGGATTACTCTCACGCAGAGAGCATCCCTTCATCCCAAAGTTCTTCACGGGAGGATGGATTTAGCTTCACATCACTGCAGTGTTTGATTAAAGTCTTCATCTCAGATTAAAAAAAAAAAAAAAAATCCAGGAACTCTGCTGAGGCAAAAACCCTGTAGCCTAGGAACCATCTATTACGTAAGCACACGGCGAACCTGATCAAACACCTGATCGTGACAACCTCCGTGTGGCTCAGAGCCTCTTGCATCAGCTGGGACATCATTTCATAATAGTGAGGCTACAGGAGAGTGAGAAAGAGAGCATGTCCAGATGCCCAGGGGAAAATCAACTTAGCTCTGCATTATTTAGAAAAAAAAAAAAAAAAAGCTGTTAACCTGGTTGCAAGTCAAAAGATCTAGGACAGCTGGTGTGGCTGATGTCAACTATCAACCCACGGGGAATCGTAGAACGGTCATTTTCTCTTGAAATAATTTTTCCCCCCTTTTAAATATCTGAAGTAAAGATCAGGATTTCTTTCAAGAAATAATCTTTTAAAAAGTCACACGGATTTAAAAAATAAAGTTGCCAAGACACACGAATGCACAAATTAAGGGTGCTGCGTTGGAGAACCTCCATATATAACCCCGGCGTAACGAGAGGTGTCTGATTACTCTGACTTCTTTCGACTCTGTAAAAAAAGCACTATGTACACTCTTGAAACATATATTAAGCTTTCTCCTGTGCAATTTCACTTAACATTCGTACGGCTGATACCACAGCCCCCACCCCTACCCAGTGCCTCCTATATAAGGTGCTCTTGCTTTGCACAGGTATAGGACATCCAGCTCTTAAAGCAGGGCACACAGAGAATGAGTGTTCTGAAGAGGCTTGGTGGCGGCTCGCCATGCTTCACCCCTCAAGAACGCAAGTTCACCAACTCAGACATTCCAACAGCTGGAAGCCAGTGCAAGCCTTGGCCCTACTAAACCGAGAGCGTCCTATACCAAGATGCGTTTTTCTTTGGGCATCCCGTAAGTTAGTTTCTGAGCAAATTCTTAATTCATCGCTCCAATATTCTTGTAAGAGGTTTAGCTCTCTGTTATTCGTATATGTCGCTATGTCTACTAACTCATCTCGTAGACACGGAATCTGTGAAAGTGCAGGCAGAATGGAAATCGGTTTGTTACCCTAGTGGGACTGTCTCACAGACGGGGCATGTGAGCCGTGCTCTGCTCAATGCAGAGCTGCGGGGCAGGGCCAGTCTGGAGATTTCTACCTGGGTGGGGGTTTGGAGAGCAGGTGACAACCCACGGCCTCGGCCACAGTCTTAACAAAATAGGGCATGCTACCCAAGCTGCGGTTCCTGTGACACCCTTTAAGCAGCATTGCGGCTTACCAGATGGCTCCTGGTGCCAGCTCTCATCTGAGTTGTGGTAGGCAGAGAAGCAGCTGTGCCACCGGCTGGGATTGGAGGAGGGCTCCCACACCCATCTGTGGTGCCTCCTGGCCTCAGCCTGCAGCTGAGGTCGGCACGTGAGTCCCACTGCTTGTCACTCTGGGCCTTATGCCATCTGGGGCTCCAAGCGAACATCTTTACGATGCTTCCACTTGAGGCCCCTCTTGAAAATGAAAGGCGCATAGGAAAGAAATAGCCAGAGTGCGGCTCTTTCTTAAAACGCATCGCGATCCGGACCGCTCCAAGGGGTTGGGTGGGAAACAGGGAAAAATGCCTATTCACAAGGTAGGTAGGTTATCCTTTGTACAAACGCTAGCTAATGTGTACTGTGTAGCGTATGGGCGTACTGTGTAAGTGTCGAAAACCCTTGAAAATACCACACTCCAGAAAGCTTATCAAAATCTTTCTACGTAAAATGGGCCTGGTTAGTTAAGTTGCTACAGAAGTCCAGTTTTTAAGAGCAGACGGAGAGCAAACGAAGATGACTTTTCTTCGGAAGGAAAACATCATTCCTGCTGCTCTCGCCCAGGCTCTCAGAGCAGTGCAGGTGCTGAATTGTTATGGTTTTTTTTTTTTTTTTTTTTTTTTGCTTTAATTCCACCAAGGAATTATATTCCCAGAAGTCTAGGAAGGGCTTTCCCTGGGCCTTGAGCGGCTTCCTTTGGAAGGAGAGGGATCCCCATCACCTGCAGTGGAAGATGAGGCAGAAATGGCTAGGGCGAGCCTGCTTGCTGGCTCAGTCGATGAATCGCTGGCAGGCTTTCTTCCAACGGCAGGCGGTACACCACATGTCCCGATTCTCCATTCCGTAAACCTTGCGGCACTTTTTGCCTTCACCTCTAGGCTTCCTGTAGGACAGACAGCACAGGCGTGTTCAGGGACAGGAACTGGGTGGGCTCCGGGAAGAGTTCAGGAGAACAAGGGGTAAAACGGAACAGAAAACCTGTCCGGAATGGAGTAGGCAGGCTCGGTATTTCCCTGGCCGCCGTGTCTGAGCGTCATTCACGGGAACACTCATGTGGCCGTCTGTAGCACACACAAGAGTTGGGGACTGGAGAGATGGGTCTGGGAAAAGCATTTGCTGTTTAAACACAAGGAGTGAGTCTGGACCCCCAGAACTGATATAGAGCTGGACATGATAGCCACACATACACACACAGACACACACACCCTGCCTCCTGCAAAACAGACAAACAATGACAAAAATAAAACACTGCACAGCAGAGAACAACCCTGCTCTTCCAAATTTTCTCCTTCCCAGTGTTCCCGCTGCCCGGCCGGAGGCTTCCCAGGCGGACCCTCTTGGCTCTACATGAGAACTGTAAACTGTCCTTTGTGCAGGCTAATGCAGGACAGCGGCCACCGTTACCTGCCCTGTGCACTGTATGTGTCCTCTGCAGTTACTCAACAGGAAACCACAGGCTTCAAAGAAAACATGCCTCACGGATGGTGGGAAGTTTACGAGAGGTCCCAGAACCAGGAGGCCTTGGCTCCTTTTATGCAATCATACCTTAGACTGACTGTCCCTCTGGGCGGGGAGGACAGGACCGTGTGGGCATGCTGTCTCTGCTCTCCTGAGCCCGCTGAGTGGTGATGCGTTGGAGACACCTGGCGAACACAAGGAAAATCAGGTTGAAGGGGAGGGTGGACTCTCCCTCCCGTGCGTTCATTAGGCCTTGGTGCTGCAGGCATGGTCCTCAGCTTCCAGACTGAAACGCAAGGCCAGGAACTCTGCAGCTCAAAGTGTGAGGGCTTGCAGCTGGTATGAGTGCTGAGCCGAGCCGGTGAGGAGGATCCTGCCTATTAATGTGCCGCTGTCATTTACCTAGTCCCAGACCCCACACGGAGAGCGAGCCCTCTCATTGTTACCTTCTGACCGTCCACAGAAAAAAAGCCTGCCAAGTTCGGAGCGCACTGTGCCTTTTCCAGCTCCTCGTCCCAAACACTTGCAACACCAACATGCTCAGGGCTGTCGCAGTGGTAGCCCACTCTCCGTTACCACCTTCATGTGGGTCCAGGCGTAGAACTCAAGTTTGTCAGGCTTATGAGGCAAGACGTTTACACACTGAGGCACCTCTCCGGCCCAGCTCTCTACATTTTAACCTTTGTTTCGTATCTCAGACTTTCTCAAAAGCCTACCTGGAAGTATATTTTACTACATATAAAATATGCTTTGTACCACTGTGGATAGTACTCTATGTTATTACTTATATATAAACAAAACACAATTAATAGGCTATGTTACCACAACATGCTTACTGAGTAGCTATGGCGTCCAGTGAGTTTAAAGAACTCTAAACCGATAGCTTTTGAAGTCATGGCTAATCTCTCCCAGGTAGTGACGCTACTTGAGTTATACGGAGCACTTTTAAAAGAAGCCTGACTTCGTTGTTTCCCAGTAATAACAGCAGTAAGAGCAAGCCATCCCACGTTAGCCTCTTGCCAAGCACTGTGCCGAGCAACACAAGATTGCTTTAGAAAGGTCACGTGCCTGGCTTGAGGTCGGAGCTCAAGGATGCTACTGTTTGGAAATTTTAGGCAGACCCATCCTTTATGGTCTTCATAATTTAAAGAAAGTTGCTGTATGAAGCAATCATACCATTTCAGAGAGGGAACTTCATGTTCTTAGGTTCTGCCTGGCTTCCTGTTTCTAGGGTTTAGGACTAGCCTCTATTTGGCATGAAGTCAGTGGACAAGCCAATCTTGCAGCTGTGGGAGGGGCTGTCCTCAGGAAGCCCACCTCCAGCAGGCGTCCGGCTCTGTTTTCTTTGAAAGTGCCAACAGGGAGCTCAGAGCATAAGGAATATTCTGTGTGCTTCATTCTTGTCTTTCTAGAGTCAAACAAAGCTTTTTAAAAACACACCCAGAACCTTAAAATAGGAATGGCAAGTTTGACTGCTGAAGTGTTTATCTAAGTCCTGGCCAAAGCAGATTACAAACCAGAGACTGGAAATTCTCTGGTCTAAGAATAAATTAGAAACGGGAGACAGAGGCTGGGAGAGGCTCAGTTGTGGTTAAAGTGCTGGCAGCAAAATCGTGAGGACTTAAGCATGGAAGCCGGCACCTGTGTAAAATGGACACAGTGACATGCAGGATGTCTGTAACCCTAGTGCTAGAGGTAGGAACCAGGCAGATCCCCAGAGCTCACCAACCAGCCAGTTTAACTAAATATGTGAGTTCCAGATTCACAGACCCTGCCTGAAACAGTAAGGTAGGGGTTAACCGAGGAAGACAACTGTTACCAACTTCTGAGACCAGAAGTTATTTACGCACGCGCATGTACGCATGTACACACACACACACACACACACACACACACACACACACCATACATAAATACAAAACAAAAAGAATGAATAAGAAACAGCCACAGGAGATAGAATTTTCAGTTAACCCAGATATTTATGTACACTTTCCCTGGAAACCAACACAGAAACGAAATATTTTTGTTGTTGTTGTTAAAAAAGGGGGAGGGGAATTGAGATTGAGGGTAGAGACAGCTATAGTATTCATGGAAGAGCTCTAAGATTTCTTTGTTGGATGGCATCCTACAGAGGCATTTAGGAAATGTGAGGGCAGACAGCTGCTTAAATCCCAGAATGATGTCTCTATGATGGTTTAATAAAAAACAAAACAAAAACAAAAAACAAAACAAAACAACAACAACAAAAGCACAGCATAAGTCAGGCATGGCAGAGCTAGGTGTGGCTGAGTTAGCTAGGTGTGGCGGAGCCAGAGGCTGGGTAGCAGACTCAATACTTGCCTGAGCTGTAGCGTGAACAATGAAGTAAGGTCTCATACAGGGGGGCCTTACACTCAATTCTGAACACCACACGGAGCCCCATGGAAGAAACAATAGTTTGACTAGTCATGAGAACGGTGAATTTCTCTCTCTGTCTCACGCTATCCTTATTTTTACACCAGATGATCAGAATGGCCAACGGGCTTGGAAAGTCTTCCTACTTTAAAGGCAGACACTAAGGAAGGGTGACAGGGTCAGCCTGTAGCCAGGGTCGGAATTGTAGCTTTCACTCTAGGTGTGATGGTGGCTAATCTCACTGTCAACCTGACAGGCTTTAGGATCACCTAGGAGATACACCTCTGGGTGTTTCTGGGCTGGCTTTCCAGAAAGGCGTAAGCCAGGAGGAAGACCTGTCCTGGCTGGAAAAATGATGGATGTAAGTAGAACACCAGCATCCATCTCTTTCTGCTTCAGACTATGGACACAATGTAGCTAGTTACCTGCTACACCCATTGCCCACCATGAGACTAAATAAATCCTCTCTCCCTTCTTCCCTTCCTCCCTTCCTCCCTCCCTCCCTTCCTAGTTACTTTTGTCTTGTATTTGGTCACGGTAACTAAATGCACTAGGCTATCAAATAAGGCATCTTAGCCCCATTTTTGTTGCTGTAAGGAAATTACTCTGGAAAGGGTTTATTATACTCTGGTCCACACAGTTCAAGGATACACTCCACGGTGATGGAGAATTCAGGGCTGTGAGGACTTGAAGCAGGGGACACAGTGTGTCCACAATCCGGAACAGGGGGTGATGAATGCATGCTCTTTTCTAATCTAGCTCCCTTCCTCCATTTATACTGAATAGATTCCCAGCCAGGAGAGGGTGTCTACAACGACAGGCCAGTCTTCCTGTTTCTATTAACACAGGATAATCTCCCAGGGGTGCGGACACAGGCCTGTCTCCAAGGTAATTCTAGATTCTGTCAAACTGGCAACAGTAGCCATCACAGATGGGTTAATGGCAAATGGCAAACAGCAAGCCACTCTGGGCCTTTTTGTGTCTAGCAAGGGAAAATTCTCAAGAGGAGGTGGCCCATAGCCAATGGCCACATGAGTGGATCAATGCTTGTGCCACCAACAAAACTAACACGAGAATGCCCAAGGTTACTCCTCGGCAGTGGCCAGCATCTTTAGTAAGCATTCCATATTTACGGGAGTGCTTAAAATTCACAAGAGTATTTTCTGGAAGCCACTACCCCCCCCCGCCCCCAGTTCTGTCAGCAGGAGGCTATCCACTGGCAATGATTTCTTTTTATGGATTTTGGTAAACTTGCATGGCAGCGCACAACATAGTTTGCCCGTTACTCATCCGTATGAGCTGGGACCTCTGGGTCTTGCCAAGGAGTTGCTTTTGTGCGGTGTTTGTGTAAGTGTGGGAGGGGTGAGGTAGGGAAGAAAAGAAAGGTTTCAACATCCGCTATGGTGAGCCCAGTTCTGAACCTTGTTAGGATTCACACCCGCTGTGAGCATGGCTACTGTGTACGCAGGTGCCTTGGTGCTCTGTGAAAAGACCATGTCAGACCCGGAACACTTTAAAATGAACTCTTAGCAGGAGCCATGCTAATCCACAAGTGACATAGTATTCATTTTTACTTAATACCTAAATATGGCTGCATGTTCAGCTTTTATTCAGCTCTGTATTTATTTTTTTTTGGGGGGGGGGCTCAGACTTTGAAAGAAAAAAGTGATCTCAATAAATTTAATTTTTGGATCTTCAAATGGCACAACTCCAGAACAGTATGTCAAACTAACAAATTCATGAAGTAATTTGTGACGGTAAACATCAGCCTTTCTGTACAAAGTGTGAACCACACTGCTAATTCTGCAGTCTTTTGGAGATAGAACTATAGCACCAGCAGAAAATACATTCCCAGCATCAACAGCTAACGCTCTCTTCTAGCCTTCTAAAACGTCAGTCAAAGCATCTTTTCCCAGTGAAGCAGCACTCTTCTGGGTTATGAGAGGCAGCTTGCTGATCCAAGTGTCACTCAGAACTAGACTCCTGGGGTTGCAGACATGGCTCGGCCATCAAGAGCACTGGTTGCTCTTCCGAAGAGGACCTGGGTTTGATTCCCAACACCCAAATGTTGGCTCACATCCATCTGTAACTCCAGCTCCAGGGGATCTGATGCCCCCTGCTGGTCCCTACAGGCACTGCACATATGTGGGGCCCAGAAATACAAGCAAGCAAAATACTCATACAGATAAAATTAAAAAAAAAAAAAAAAAAAAAAAAAAATCTTATAAAAAGAAAGAAAGAAGCAGGTGCCTTTGGGAACTAGCCGCGATGGTGCGCGCCATCCTTGAGTACACAGAGTTCAAGGCTAACCTGGGCTACTTGAGGCACACCACTGACTGCATGCTTCCCGTGTTGGAGTCTACAGCTCGTTCTTTAAGTGTGCACTTGGCTTGGTTCATCTTACCGTGTTTTGGTACTTACGGGAATGCCGGTGAAAGTGACTGGGGGTGACTGCCAGGGAATGCTGAACCTGTTACCATTGGGGGTGAACTTTGCAGATCCCGGAATAGTCACTGGGGGTGTGGCCTATGAGACAGGAAGCAGAGAAGGCTGTGTCAGGGAATGACTGTGCAGTGAGTTAGCGCTCATCACCAAAGCTGGGCTGCAGGGACAGGCAGGGCTGCTCTGGGAATGTACGCCAGCGGGCGGAGACTAGCCTTCCATATACATATAATATCAGCGATCTACTCGAGGTACAGGAAATGGCCTTTGGCTGTCAGTTCCTGAAATTCAATCACATATACCTGTTTTTGGACATATGCAAGTAAATCTTGACTATCAAATTAGGAAGCAAATACCTGAATAAGTTTGGGAATGGGTACAGGTAAGCTATAAATATTTTCAGTGTAATTCAGTGATATGCACTAAAATTGTCAGTTTTGCCCATCAGATAGCTCACACCTAAGGGTTGTTTCTGAGAAACGGGAACAGTGATGTGCCCTGCGCGGCCATGTACTGTGACCATGCTGAGAGACTTGGCTAGTGACGTGGCTTGGCAGGTAAAGGTGCCTACTGACTGGCAAGCCTGCAGACCTGAGTTCAACCCTGAGGACCACAGAGAGGAAGCAATGTGTCAAATGTTTGCGCACACACACGTACATACACACAAAATTAAAGTTTAACAGGAAGTTTGAAAGCTTTCAAACTGAGCAAATGAATATAACAGATGACAAAAGTCGACTCTGTAAAGTAAGTGACTGTGGTTTGCTTCTCCAGGCTTAGTTGTTTGGTTTTTTTTTCTTTTCTTTTCTGAATTACAACTGTGTCAGCTAGTTACAGTGGTTTTGTACCCGGCACACGGGGACACACTTTGGTAATACACAGAAATGCCCATAAACTCTTCATTCATGTTCCAGGTGACACAATGACACTTCTGAGGATTAAAATGAAAGCTAAAAAAGCCATAGACAGAGATTGTTCATAGTACAGTTCCCTTTTCTGGATTTTAAAGTTTTTTCTTTTTAAAGACAGGGTCTCATGTGACCTAGACTAGCCTCAAACTTGTTGTTATACTGCTGAGGCTGTCTCCATCTCTCGAGTGTTGGGATCAAGGGCATGGGACACCGCGCCCAGCTCCATGTGGTTACCAGTGGAAAACCACAGTAGACAGTCACAAAAACTATCAGAATGATTGAAGTAATTATTTCAACTTAATCAAATCGGGCAGTAGATAGTTATTGGGGACTTTTTAAAATAAAATAGGTAGGGCAATGTAATTTCAGAAATGCACGGAGGATCTTTATGAAGATGCCTGAGGTAGCTGTGATTGTTGGTATCCTCAGCACGCATTTGGAGGATTTATTTCTAAGCTCAGGCTTCTGGGGTCCCAGCTGTGACCCAGTAGGTTGGTGTGGGTAGTGTTCAATAAATTTCCATTCAAAACAACTTCTAGGGGGTGCGGACACTGTTGAGTTGGGGAACACTGACAGCCACCTGTACTCTGAGACGGTTAGTTACCCACCTAGAAGCAGGGTATGCTGAGACCCCAGCTACGCAGTACAGGATTTCTGTCAATGCTCCAAAGCTTGCCGAGCAAGGCTCAACTTTACACTCACTTTTAAATTAGCTGGGCATGGTGGCGCACACCTTTAGTCCCAGTACGTGATAGGCACAGGTAGGTGGATCTCTGTGAGTTCAAGGCCAGCTTAGTCTAGTGAGTTCCAAGACAGCCAGGGATATTGAGGGACACTGTCTCAAAAGACAAACAAAAAAACTTTTAAATTAAATGTATTGTCTGTGGGTATGTGTGTGTGTGGTATGCAGGTAGCCAGAAGGCAGTTTCAGAAGTTGGCTCTTATGTCATGTAGGTCCTAGGGATTGAATACTTCCTCAGGCTTGGTGGCAAGCATTAAGCCTTATACACCGGCATCTTGCTGGCCCCTTGACTTCATCTTTTTGAAACAGGATCTTGCTTAGTAGTCCTGGCTGACCTGGAGCTTAACATCAGGCTGGCATTGAACTCACAGAGACCCCTGCTTCTGCCTCCCAGATGCTGGGACTAAAGGTGCATGCCAGCACTCTTGGCTTAATTTTCACTTATTGGATGCTCGTAAGCTATGACAGTCATGAATCTGGGGGCTTAACACTGCTAAGGATTTTTAATCCTCTTTTTAAAAAAAGATTTATTATGTCTACAGTATTCTGTCTGCATGTATCCCTGCCGGCCAGAAGAGGGCACCAGATCTCACTACAGATGGTTGTGAGCCATCACGTAGTTGCTGGGAATTGAACTCGGGACTTTCGAAAGAGCAGGCAATGCTCTTAAGCGTTGAGCCATCTCTCCAGCCCTAGTTTTTATCCTTTTTAACAACCACGAAGGGAATGGATCTTCGGCTGACTCTGGGAGCCCAGGAATCATCTGTGGGGTCCATTCAAATGAGATATGACTTTTCCCCCTAGTGGTGCTGAAGGCTAAACAAACGAGGCAAGCACTCTGTCACTAAGCTACACTCCGACCCCTTTGCTTTTCTTTTCCTTTTATGGCAGGGTACCACCAAGTTACCCAGGATGGTCATGGATGTGCTCTGCTGCCTCAGCAAGCTTCAAACTTATGCTCCTCCTGCTAAGCCTCCCGAGTAACCAACAGTACAGCCCTGGGCCACTAGAGCCTTTTGTTGTCTGGCTTTAGAGATTGCATCTCAACTATGTAGGTCAGGCTGCCCTTAAACTCTATAGCCCAGCTCTTGCCTCAAATTCATGATCCTCCTGCCTCAGCCTCTTGAGTGCTGGAATTGTAGGCATAAGTCACCACTTAGGGCTTGAGATAATGATTAAGAGGAAAAATAGGAAACAAAACAAAACAAACAAACAAACAAACAAAAACAACTGCGTTGTTGGCCGCCACGCATGGTGCTGTTTTTACCTAGCTGTCTTGCAGTCCCAGGCCTGAGGGCTACCGCTTTTGACCAAGGACCCTATCGAGTTGTTACCTGGTAAGCATGGTCAGTGTGCACGAGGTAGAGGGTGGTGGGCGCTGAGCGGCTCAGCGGCGTCATTAGCTTGGTGTCTGTTTTGGCACAAGGAATTTCAGTTCGGCTGGAGTCTGGGACAGGAAACGTAGGAGGTGAAGCCAGGGACTGGGAGGGAGAGAGAGGAGCCGTGCCGCCCAAGCCCTCAGCCACCGAGTCCATGTTGAGCTTGATCTCAGTGTAGTAGAAGTCCTCTTCTCCGTCACTGTAGTCAGACTCCCCAACTCGCCTAGGGAGGGGGACACCAGAGCTCAGCCATCTGTGCATTTGCCTCCACCTTAGGCAGAAGATTCCCTCCCTCAACCTGGAATACTTTGCTTTCTGTCAGTAGCCATATGTGTATCGTATTTATCCTGCAACACCCAGCTACCTGGAGATCCTCATTGGCTTCTGCTATGATTTAACCAGCCCCACCACCCCATAGGCTCTGTGCTTTCCTCCAAAGTCCCAGCCTGACACTTCTGAGCATCCTGTGTAAAGATCAGTACCTACCACCACTGACCTCAATTAAGGACTCTCAAATATTGCTTTATCTTTTTTCACTGGGACTTAGCAAAGCCTCATACACTAAATGGATGTTTGTTCTAGTCTGCCTCTAGACTATAAAAGTTCCATCAAGCCTGGTGGCAGCCCACTCCTTTGATCCCAGCACTCGGGAGGCAGGGGCAGGCAGATCTCTGAGTTCCAGGACAGCCTGGTCTACAGAGCGAGTTCCAGGACATCCACGGGTACACAGGGAAACCCTGTCTCAAACAAACAAACAAACAAACAAAAATCCAAACCAAACAAAACAAAACCAGAAATTTCCATCAAGGCAGTCTATGTTTTGTCCCTGATAGGAGATAGAAAGTTTTATATGTAATATAGTCTCAATGATTCTTAGACTAGTAAATGAATGGGTAGGTAGGTGGGTGGATGTTTGGGTGAATAGGTAGATAGATGGATAGATTGATAGGTAGGTAGGTGGGTAGGTGGGTAGGTGGGTGGGTGGGTGGGTAGGTGGGTGGGTGGGGGGTAGGTAGGTGGATGGATGGGTAAGTAGGTGAATGGATGGGTAGATTGATAAGTAGGCAGGTCGATGCATTGGAGGGTGGTAGAAAGATTGCTCTAAGTCGTCTTACTCTATTTTCTGTTTCTGTGGTATAATACCTGATGCCAGTAAGTGAAAGGAATAAAGATTTATTTGGCTCATGGTCTGGATGCTGAATCTATGACCATAGTGTTCAACATTGGCCTCACGATGTCTGAACCCGATACGGTCAGACAGACCCAATCTACTAACTCGTTTTTCTCTTTGTTTTAGAGCCACTGGTGCCCACATCCTCTTGTCTTCTCCTAATTCTGAGCGCTTCCCAAAGACCCCTCTCCAAATACCATTAACATAAGAGTTTGGAAATCACATTGCCCTCAAACAATATTGGTGGTGGGCTTGTTAAATCACAGCAGAAGCCAATGAGGACCTCCAAATAGCTGAGTGTTGCAGGATAAACACGATACACATAAGGCTTGCTTGGAATCATGCAAATAGAATAATTCCTTCCTTCCTTCCTTCCCGCCCCCTCCCTGGATACAGGGTCTCTATATATAGTCCAGCTGTCCTGGAATTCACTATGTGGGGTGGGCTGGCCTCACACTCAGAGAGCTCTGCCTGCCTCTGCCTCCTGAGAGCTGGGATTAAAGGCGTGACCTACCACACCCACTCCTGTAACGCAATACTGCGCTCTTCCCCAAATTCCTACACGTGAGCTCAGCCCATACAAGCCACCACTAGTCTGCTGATCTGCCCACCTCTCTAAATCCCGACTTTTCCTTATCTTTCCCCTCTTTCACTAGATGCATAACTAAGGATACCTTTTCCGGAACATTAGGCTCCTCCCTCTTCTTCTAGAGTCCCCTCCCCCCTTTTCTTAGTGGCTGCCTGCACCCCGGTGGCTGTGGTCCATGCTGACTTAAATGACATGGTTTCTGTTTGTTTTCTAACCCTCCTCTTCTCCATCCACTTCTAGGCAGCTGCTGAGATTTACAACTTGCCTGTCCCGGGTCGTTTTAAATTCTAATGCAATTGTTCTCAAGCTTCCAGTTCAGTCTGTTTTTAAATTATTTTTAATGAACCTTAGAACCCAAGAGGGGACCTCCATTTCCTGGGTATCAGTGCTTACTCATAAAACTGTCCACTGAGCCATCTCTCCAGCCCTGTTGCGGGCTTTGAAAACCTCTTTTGTCCTCTCACGACGGCTCTAGCTCTCCAGGGCTGTGTTCTCCACATATAATCAATGTTTTTGGCACTAAGTAGGCGCCTACCAAATGCAGCAGGAATGCGCAGTAGAGGCTGCTCTGGCATGGTGGGCGAGACCACACCTTCTGGAATTGTATTTTTTCAGGCTGACACGTTGTGTGTGATTCTGGCAGCCCAACATGGTCCTGTACCTTGCCTTGGCGTCTTAAGTTAGTAACATGAGATCACAAGAATACTTTATTGATGTGATGGAGTAAGTGTGTGAATTCGAATGGACACTTCTGTATTTATGATGGAGTAACTGTAGAGAGCTCGTTAACATACCTGAGCACAGGAACTAAGCTTCTGTGATTAATCCCAGGGACTTTAAACTTCTTTAAGTGGGAGAAAAGTGTGCTTTCTCACAGAAAGTTCTGAGCTAAGAAACTGCCATGACTCAATATTTAACCAGTCTTGCTAATTTCCCAAGGACTGTGTACCCAGAACCCCACTCTCTGGAATGGCTGAAAGCAAGACACACCCCTCAGTTGATGGGCACATCTGGCACTAGCCAGAGGTTGCTCACTGGAAACTTGTTTCCCCTTTAGAAATCCCTATGTAGACCTAAAGCAAAGTGTTGTCCCTCAGCTGTTCGGCTTGGCCAGATGAGTAGTGGCTTCTCCCTCCGTTTTCTCCAAGCCCTGCAGAGCTGTCTCCGCAGAGCTGCCTCTGCACCCTAGCAGGTCACACAGGGCTTGGCTTTCTGACAGGCATGCCATTGAGGACCCCAGGGAGCAGGGCAAGGAATGGGTGCCTGTTCTATTCCTGTCCCTGCTTCCTTTCCAGCCACAGGCAGGCTGAGCTGCCGCTGGTCGCCAAGTGCTACTAATAGCACCCGGACCCGAGGGAAGTCATGAATTCTCCAGGGGGACAGATGAGGGTCAGTCCCTGGAGACCGGGGGCTGAGTGATGGGGATGTTAAAAACCGTGCACTTTTTAAGGCTGTGTGGGGTGCCTGAATTTCATCGGGTGCAGGAGGACATGTTGTCTCGGGTGGGGTTGACACGTCTCCCCAGCCACTGCTTGCTAGCAGTGTCCCAACAGTGGCACAACTGGGCTCGAGGAATAAGAAGGTGAAGGCCCTGGTTCCTCCCGGTTCCCCAGAAAGCACAGGCGTGAAGTCCCGTGCACTTTGATGAGGGTCTTTCCCGAGCAATGGCTGCCAGGATGGCGAACTGCAATTGACCGAGGTGACTGAGTGTAAGAGCATGCTGGGGACGCTAAGGGATCCCAAGGAAGCCATAAGTGGTTGGCCCTCGGATGCCGCCCACCCGAATGAATGGGCCGTCCTGGATGCTGTCATAGTCTCTGAACATTCATACACAGAGCCCAGGTGCCTGCTCAGCAGGGCTGGTCCGCGAGTTCTTCATCTGGCTTTGCCATGGAAGGTGCGATGACGTTTATTTTTTCCCGTCTGTCTTTGGGAGTGGGGGTTCTCCTAGAGTGACAGTAGCTTTTGAGGCTCGAAGTCATGAACATCAGCCACTGCAGAAAGCACGCACATCTCATTTACAGACACCAGGGCCTTAAGGACTCCGTGATGTACGTTCACCCCTCCCACGGGAGGGGCCCTTGTGGCATGCTTTACACTTTGATTCTTTTGCACAGTTTATTTTCCTCCCTCAGAGGTAATATTGACTGGCTAACCATCTTGAGAGGGACCTAGGGACGAGAGTGAGGACTTGCCTAACGTCACCCAGAACATAGTTTAGGGAGACTCTACAGCCGGGTGACCTGGTGGCTGCCCATCAGCAGAGTCCGCCTCTACCGGGGAGGGCGGGCTACCTTACCCGAGGTGGATGGCCCGGATGTGCTTCTGGATGCCCGCTGCCGTGTTCAGCACCTTGCCACAGTTTTTCCAAAGGCATTTGAACATCACCTTCATGGAGTTCTACAGAAGCGAGGGGACACCACATCACAATGCAAGCAAACCATCCATGGTTACTGTGTCACCCCTGCCCACCCTTTCCTGTGGACACGCCAACAGGAATGGGCCCCCTCCTCTTGCAGAGAAGCTACTGGCGGCTGGTGGCTGCTGGAAGAGGGAAGGGTCTGTTTTCTTCAAGTGTTTGACTCTGATGTGGTCCAGCCACACTACAGGGGATGGTCCCACAGCCATGCAGATTTAGGCAGCACTAATTAGACTCAACGGGTCATTAAAAAAAGAAAGAAAGAAAGAAAAAGAGGGAGAGAGAAAGTCTTCGGAGTGACTGGACACACCGACTGCACACCAAGCCTTCCAGACATGAGTTTATTGGGGAAGGGTGTGCGTAGAGAGGGCAGAGGCTTCCTATTTCAGCTAAAACACATGTGCAGAAGAAGTATGTTACACATCATATGCCAACCTTTAGGTTAATCTTGAGGTTGGTAATGGGGGTTAGTTAAACGAATCCCTGTGGTGGTGGCCTGCATAGGGTCAGATGTTTGAATGCACATTCCACCACCCCCACTGATAGAGTTGATAGATGGGCTTAGGAGGCGTGGCCTCGCTGGGGGACGTGCACCACTGGGGGAGGTCCTTGAGTCTCGAAAGCCTGGTGACATTCCAAGTGCGCTCTCTGTTTCATGCTTGTGGTTCAAGACGTGAGCCTTTGCTCCAGTAATCATGCACCCTAACTCTCCGCAACCAAAAGCCCAAATAAGCTTTCTTCAGTTGCCTTAGGCATGGTGTTTTATCGCATCCATCAGAAAAGTACCTGATACCATCCCATGTGTACCGAGCACACTAAAAATGAAGCCACACTTACTTTTCATTCTTTAATGTCCTTTTGAAAATAGTTTGTGTTTATTTATGCACGTGGGCCTGCCTGCCTGCCTGCATGCGTGCTGTGGGTGCGCTGTGGGTGCGCGCTGTGGGTGCGCAGGTGCCCGATGAAGGTAGAAGAACGCGCCCCATCCTCCGCGGCTGCGCTCAAAGCTGATGTGAGCCCCTGCTCCAGGTGCCTGGAACAGAACCCAGGGCCCCTCTGCAAGGGCAGCGAGTGCTCTGACCACAGTCACTGTGCTTTCAAATGACCTCTTATTTACTGTGTGGGGCAGAGCGGTGGTCAGGGTGCACAGCCGGCGCCACCTCATCCGCTCCTCGCGCTCCCATCTCCTTCCTGGTCTGCCCTGTTTGACCCCACAGGCCATTCTGCGTCCTCCACCCTGCTCAGTGCCCCAGAAGGCTGGCTCCATGCACAGAATCAATGGGCTCCTCCTGCCTGTGGGTTTCTGGTTGGATGTGTCCGATGCGAGGCGATGGGAGGAGGCAGGAGAAAATCCTGATTCCCCCGGTTCCCATTTTAGCAGGGCCACAGCTGTGTGTGGTTAGGTGCCATTCCTGCCTGGCGATCAGTCCTCCAGCTGAGACTCTAGCATTCTGTTATTCCCTCTGATCACGTCTCCAGCTGCCGTGGTAGTGGGGATGGGCTTGCCTGACCATTAGGTCCAGAGTTGGTCTACTGCCCCTGTTCGCTCCCCAGACCCCATTGGTACTTTCATTAGGACATCTGAGTGTGCCTCGGGCCCTCTGCCAGAGCCTGAACTCTTAAAAGGAAATACAAGTTATAAAAGAACTTAAATAATAATTTGGAGGAAGTGATTATGCCATGTTTTTTGGTTATTTGTAAGTTTCTTTTTAAAATAATAAGAGTATATTAAATTAAAAACAAATACCGGGTCTTTAATTCCAGCATTCGGGAGGCCAGCCTGGTCTACACAGGGAGTTCAAGGACAGCCAGGGCTATGTAGAGACCATCTCAAGAAAACCCAACCAACCATAAATACAAACAAAAAAGGGAGGATTACATTTTTATGTTAATTTCTCAATTAAAGAAAACTATTCTGTATTTTAACTTTTGTTGCCATGTTTGTTTGTTTGTTCCTTGGTGCTGAGTCCCAGGGCCCTGAGTGTGTTAGGTAAGCAGTCTACAGTGAGATCCATGCTACCTATTTTTAACTTTATTTATTTAAATCACTTACTATATTTTTAACTTTTAATTATTTGTTGTTTTGGCGTCCTGACACACACACACCTTTAATTCTAGGACTCAGAAGGCAGAGGTATACGGATTTCTGTGAATCTGAAGCCAGGTTGGTCTACACAGTGAGTTCTAGGCCAGTCAGACCTACACAGTGAGATCCTGCCTCAGAAAAACAAAACAAAACCAAACAAACAAAAATCTGAGCGGACTAATGCTGCTTACTTAAATTTGGAGAAAAAACAAACACGACGGAAGATTACCTCAGCTTCAATGGACTTGAGCAGCTAGCTTTGCTTCTACACCAGCCAAGGGTGTGCTCCCCTCAAGGGCACAGACACTTAATGCTAGTTTAATTCCTTTCCCAGTCCCCTCACTATATCCAGCTGAAACCAACCCTCTCTGTCCACAAACAGACTACTTGCTGTTAGGCTGGAGCAAAAGCAAGCCGCAGGAGGAGGAGAACGAGGAAAAAAATAGCTAAATAAACAACGCCCAAACTGCTGCACGGCCCAAGCCGTCTGGAGGAAGCCAAGCCAAGCAAGCAAAGCTGCTGGCCAGGCCACAGCGGCCAAGTGTGAAAGGCCCATCTGTGCTCAGCCTTGGCCTCTCCTCAGGGTTCCAACAGATGTGCTGCCCGAGAATGCCCGGGGGCAACAGCTGAAGATTCGCCCCCAGTGGAAAGCACGTTTGCTGGACATCAAAGTCAATGTCAGCTGAGTCTCACAAAAGGCAGCTGAAGGATGGAGAAGGGCAGAGGGAGGCAGAGGGAGGCCCCGTTAGCTGGTACTGCAACCTCCATGCCTCATCTGACACTACAATGTCCCCTCCCCCGACCCAGGGCACGGCACTCCAGATCGCTGTACTATTCCAGATGTGCAGATGTTTCCTGGCAGCTCTTTGGATGACCTGCTTGGTGCCGTGTGTCCTAGAGAATTTCTAGAAGGTCTGAAGAGGAAGTGCCTTGGGCTATAGACTTTTTTCCCACCTACTTTTCTTTTTGAGAAGCTTTTTTTTTTTTTTTTTTTTTTTTTTTTTTTTTGCTGTGTAGTCCACACTGGCCTTGAACTTGAGGCCCTCCTACCTGAGGCTCCTGAGTATTGGGACTACAGCAGCCTGGGGCCACCACTCCTGACCCACAATCCTATTTTTGCTCCCCCATGACAAGGTTTCACTATGTAACTCACTATGTGTAGACCAGGCTGGTCTCAAACTCAGAGATCCATCTGCCTCTGACTACCTCCCCCCCCCAACCCCATGCTGTGATTAAAGGTATGGGCCATTAGGCCTGGTCACAATCTTATTTTAAAGTGGTTTCCCACCTGGGCTAAATGGAGCGCCTTTCCATTCTCCTGCTGATAAAACCTAGACTGGTACCCAGGAACGACAGGACCGTTGCCACGGTACCTCTCCTTCCCTGGGACAGGGACATGGCTTGGTTTAGAAGTATGGCTGGACGTGCTCAGGAGCACATCGGATTAAAACAACCGTCTGCAAGTTTCATGAACACTGCTGTATCAGCATAGCCTATGCAGTGTAGTACTGGCTTTTCTGACGCACAGGAGACTCCCAGGGACATATAATTATTCACTATGGGGATGAGGATTATACACAAGTATGCGGGTATGTGTGTGCACACTGCGGAACTTCTGAACTGTGAATCAGGTAAGTATCAGCTCCACACTTCCTTTTCAGCGTGTCTCAAGGTCAGGAGGTCCCGACCTGAGGTCCTTATCAAGGGCCAAAAAAGCTAAAGAAATAGCTACTTTAGACAGCAGCTTCCCACATGCAAACTTACGTTTACGGGCTCCCTCCTTTATTTGTACGATGAGCAGATTAAATGAAATTAGTAGACATAGGGTGTCAATTCAAGGTAACGGTGAATTCAAATATGCCGAGCGCAGGTGCGCGGTGTGCTGCTGAGGCTGTGCTGATGTGTGGGAAGGGTGTGGCTCAGTTGGTAGTGCTTGCCTAGCATGTGCAAAGCCCTGGGCTCATCCCCAGCATGCATAATGGCCATATCAGCACTCATCTGTAATCCTACCACTTCAGTCAGTCAGGCCATCCTTGTATACACACAACCAGTTCAAGGCTAGCTTGGCCTTGAAGTGAGACCTCCTTAAAGACAACAACCAATCAAGATCTCTGCAAGCGTACTGGAGCGTGTTCGTTTATGGTTTCTTCCCTACGGCATGATGACTTTGACCCTAGCCCACCGTCCTGTGTATTTCCGGCTTTTCCTCTTTTTTTTTTTTTTTTTTTTTTTTTTTTGGCAAGTGTGGTGTTCTGCTATACGAATATGCCAGAACTTCCTTCCCCACGTGCCTGCTGGCGGGCATTTGTGTTGTTTCCGGTTTGGAGCAGTAACGAAAGAGGCTGCAATGAACACTTGTCTGTAAGTCTTTTTGTGGACATGTGTTTTCTAATCTCCTAGGTAAATACATATGCGACAGTAGAGTTGCTGGGTCACGTGGTTAGCATATATTTAACTTTCTAAGAAACTAACTGCCAAACTGTTTCTCAAAGTAGTTGTGCCGTTCTGCATTTCCACTGGCAATGAGTTGCCAGGGCTTGGTATCCGCACTACATGTCCACAGTTTCCCTTGGTTCTACCACGGCCAGCTCTGCGGCAGCGGAAGAGCCTGTCTGGGGTGCGGGGTAGGGGTAAACGTGCTGCCCGCCCGGTTAGCTAGAGTGGTGGTAACACGGGAAAGACGTCAGTCAAACTCACAGAACTGTGTACCAAAGGTGAGCTCACGATATTTTGTGAGATCTATACTTAACAAAGATGGATTTAAGGTGCTCCTGAGCCAATAAAGGTCGCTTGCCATGTGTTTGCTTAACCCGTGGATTTTGGAAGCGAGTACCATCCTTGGGGTCCATCTGCTCACTCCTAGACGAGGTTGACATGTGGACAGGTCAGGACCACAGTAGACGATGTCTGAGTTCCTTGGAGCTCCAGCACCCTCACTAGAGACCACTGGGCTGGTCAGTCCAGCAATCCTGGTAGCCCAGATGTCTTATTTTTGCACTTTGTCCTCCCCTGGGTTAATCAGCTGGGCTAACCCTGGCGATCTGTGCCCTTCCAGTGAGCCCGCCCCCAGCCTCCCTTACTGTCCTCACGGGACTTCTGAGCAATGCTCATTACAGGGACCTTACTGCTCCTGCTAAGTAGACGAGGAAGGAGTTCTGCAGAGACAGGGGCACCACACTCATGTGTGAGGGCTTTGTGGATTTGTTTGCTTTTTGGTCGGGCGGTGGCACCACTCACAATAAAGGGATCTGGTTTTGTTGTTGCTTTGAAAGATAAATGCAGAGTGCAACAAATGCTTAACTTGTGATGTAAGACTGCACGGCTGCCGGAATGCCTGTGCTAGCGCGGAGCTCTTCCCCCGCACCCAGGGAAAACTGTCCGGGGTCATGACACTGCGGAAAGCAATTGAAAGGGTGGGAACAGAATCTCCCGAGTGTCCCTGAGGTGCGGTGCTGCTGCTGGAGTCCTGCATCACGTTCCCTGGTGTGCCCCCAACTTCTGCCAGAGCTACTCTCCTTCCCTCTCTGCACCGCTGGGGTTTTCCCATCAACCCCAAAGGTGCACGGGGTGAGTGACGGCCTCACAGTTACTCTGAGCCACTTGGCACGGGCTCCACCAACACAGGATCAGGATGGAGGCAAGTGCTCTCTTCTCTCCACAGCCAGGGTTCTCAAGCTCCGCGCCCACTCGGCATCCAAGGGTGGAACCTCAGCCTGGTACCACATCCGCTGCTCACTCTGCACAGCAGCCCACCAACACGGTGCTTCCAGAAGGGACGCCGCCAGCTTCAGAATGCACAGCCTCCAGATCTGATGGCATTTTCCTTACTTATCAGCACTTCACGTGTTCCAGGAGGTCTTGTGGAACTGACGGTTAATTCTTCTACAGAACTGGATTTCTCCTGAGAACACCAGAGTGCCCATATTTTGGGTCATTGCATCACCTTGTGGTCATGACAGGAACTGCAACTTCTCAGAGTCCCAAAATCACAGTCTGTAGAAGAAGTTGGAGGCTCCCTGAAACCAGACGGGAAAGTCCGATAGAATGCACCCCTACAAAGCTGGCCAGCTGACTTGAAGAGCCAGGGCAGCCCGGTGTCTCTCACGTTTTCGTTGCTATGGCAGACCCTCGCAGGGAAAGGGTCTGAATCCCTCGCTATACCTTCAGTGCCTTCTCCCGCCTGGTCTTGGGGTGTGGGTCTGCTGGGTGTCTGTCTGGTCATGCCATTCTCCTCCTAGGCGGCATTCCCCAGCTCATTTTGCCTCAAGCACAACCTCTTCATTCCCTGTTAAAGCTCACTGTACCTCTGCCTCAGCGGAAGCAGCACCACTTGGTGCAACACACACACACACAAGTCAACGCGCCGCCCGCCTCTGCAAAATGGGAATACGGTTGTGTCGGAGATTTGGAGTATGATTACAGGAAGCGCTGCACTTAGCTGAGACCACGCATGGAAACAGCGGTTATCGGAAAATACCTCTCAGTAAGAGATAACGCTTGTCTATGCCATGCAACTCACACTTCAAACTTCTTTACATCAACGGATCCACAAGAGTTAGCAGTGACTACTTCCTCTGCTGTGTCTGCAGCTCACGCAAGGCGCGTTGGAGCCGCTCCATGTTCCGTTACACAGCATCCCATTTAACAACTTCACAACTGTGGTGTACACTGGCATGCACTGAAGTGAAAACCTGAGTCCAGCACATTCTCTCCTGGCTTGTTAAAGTGTGCTGCTCACCTTCATCAGATTGACTCACAGTCTACTTGTCAAGTGTAACTCCCATATTGGAAGAATCTTGTCTAGAAATTTCACCAACAACCTCCACAGGATATGTGACTACTGCAAAGTTGGTGTGTGTGTGTGTGTGTGTGTGTGTGTGTGTGTTCAAATGGGTACTAAGACTCTAAGAGAATAGGTAATTGAACTTAGGTAGCTCCATGAACAAGAACAGATGTGTTCAGTCAAAGATAAGTGTTTCTTCAGTGTGGCATCCTGGACACTTGGTAGTCAGTCCTTATCCCCAGGGATTAGATATATTTGGACTTAGCCGGGGGACAGGATTGCTGAAGCACAGAGCGTGACTCTCCATCTTCACTGTTTTCTGGTCGTACGCAGATATTCTATGGAAAATTCCCTTTCCATCGTCCCAGATGGCATTGCTGAGCTTGGCTATCAATGCACACACCTGGCGTTCCCATCCTATGGCAAATTCTGGTTGCATGTGCAAATGATGGTATATATTTGAAGTTGCCATTTTGGTGATGACAGAACAGCTTTAGATCCACCAGCCTCTGCCTCCCAAGTGCTGGGATTAAAGGTGTGCATCATTGCTGGCTAGAACAGCCCCCCCTTTTTTTTTTTGTAGAATGTGTATGAAAGATTGACATAGCATCGCAAGAAATTAATTCTGTAGAGACCTTTTGAAACATGAATGACAGTGTTTACATCCTGTAATATTATCTGAGGACAGCTTGTGTCTCTCCAAACAGTCTAGCCTTTTCACACATCGGCCTCTGCCCACCCGGCTCTTAACCTTTGAATGAAGTGGCTGTCCCCACTTCCAGGAGGTTCAGAATTTTGCCTGATGGTCTCAATAAATACCAGTCCACCAAGTAAACAAGATGGATAGTAGCTATCCAGTTTTCTTGCATTTTTAAAAAAAAACTACTTAAAGTCATTTTGAGTACAAGAGGCCAAGGCAGTGAAACATCCGTTACTCCCAGTTCCCTCATCTTTTGTCTTGAGGACCCTTGCCCCAGGAAAGACAGGATGCGGCAGAGAAGCCCTCTTCTCTGAGGAAAGACGGCCCTATTCCTCAGCGGGAACTATTGTGCTACTTAACACTGCACGCTCTGAGTGATGCTGAGGGAGGCAGGGAGGATGCTGGACCATTGCCTCCTCTTTGCATTCCTCTCTGAACACATTCAGGGGAGGACGAGGTTGCAACTCATCCCCAATGCCTCCGTTTGTTTTGTTTATGAGTTACCATTACGAATGACGACATCCGTATAGAATTTTAAAACCAGCAAGTAATGTCATGGTTTCACATAATTTTAAAACGATGCTAAAATGTCCTCTAGGTTTGGTAGCAGTGTTGCTGTAGCCTATGAAATTAAAAAAAAAAAAAATACTTCCATAAAGCGGAGGGTGAAAGGACACCGAGAAGGGCTTAGCCGGTAAAAGCACTTGCTACCAAATCTGAGTCACAGTCTAATGCACACTTAACATAAGCAAGTAAATGTTAAAATATAACCCAAACCCTGAAAATGATGATAACAAATATTCCTAAGGAGAATCTAAAGATTATGGCTCTGGTGGACTCCGGGCCCATGTAATAAAAATCTCCCAGAACCTCAATTTCTACACAGCCCGCCTTGAGGGCAATCATTTAAACTACCAAGCCCGGTGTTCGTCTCCTCTTTATGGTTTTGTTTATAAACATACCTTTCGGGATGGAAGCATACACGTTTATGTGTCAACCAACCTTTAAGTATCCAGTTGTGTAAAAATGAACAAACTCTTTTGGGCTGACTGAAGCAGGAACGAGAAAAAACAAAACAAAAACAAAACATACCGACCACAGTTTAAGGGCATTTAGCCACAGGTGGTCTCAGTCCAGCACTTCAGCTTCCCACGATGTAAGAGGCCGTTTGACAATGCACACACAGCACGGAACTTGCATGCTGATGAGGACACCGCCAGGGATCCGAGTCATTTCTGTCTTCAGTCAGGGAAACTGTAGCGTCAGAGACCATTACTGCAGAACGCGGGCTGGGCTGGGGTGGGGCTGCCCATTCTCACGAGTGACTATGCACCTGAACGGTGGGTGCAGGGCACGGCGCAGTACCCACCTTTCTCTTCCTGGGGATGGGCTCGTCGAAGAGCAGGTTGCTGGCCTCGGCCTCGTCGATGCCATCATCCGGTGGCGCTGGGCTACGGAAGGGCTTGAAGCTGTCGGCGGACAAGGGCGGTGAAGGTGTGGACGGGTTGGACTGGTCGCTGGGAGCGCTCCAGCTCCAATAGCCGCTGCTGCTGCTGCTGGACGGTGCGCCCTCCTTCCAGGACCCGCTGAGGCCCTCTGTGAGTACAGGGGGCAGCAAAGTGAGGGCCTCCGGGTTCTGTCCTCGCAAGTTCACCCCCATGTTGCATGCTCACCCCCATGTTGCATTGCATCAGAAACCCCCAACAGCTGCAAGCAAGCAGTACGTTCATAGGTTCTTGCCCACTCCAGTCACATGGTAGCTTCTAGGCAGTTGTTCTTAGCTACAATGTAACAGGGCTGTCTGGGCTCTCTGGTGTGTGTGTGTGTGTGTGTGTGTGTGTGTGTGTGTGTGTGTGTGTGTGTGGTTACTGTGTAGCACTCCCGCCTTGGGTCCATTACAGGGAAACAAGAAAATAAAGGTTATTTCTTGTTCGCCAACCATGGGGAGGTGGGGATGGCCAGTCACCATGCCTCAGTGTGTGAAACTGCCCATGGTATCCCCCTGGCCACCAGGCTGCCTGCCCTGGTTCTAATCCTCCCATAAAAAAAAAAAAAGCCATTACTCAAGTGACTATGGTTACTTAGGGGTACATGCCTAAGAAATCAGATTAAGATTTAAGACTCTCCCAGAAATGGTAATTTCAAGATAGACATCCAAAGCAACTTCCTATTGCTGATCGAAACAAACAACGTCTTACATTCTGACTGCTCCCATATCCTTAAAAGTAATTTTCAAAGTTAGTGTATAAAATAAGGGCATTTCCATACATCTGTGTCATTCATTAAACTTCATTCTATTCGTTCTAATTCTAATTCTTCCCCTTCCCTCTGGCCCCTCTTTCTAGTCTCCTCCTCCTGCATTCACACACAGTGCGTTCTAATTCCGGCGCTCATCTGCAGTTCAAGCGCGGTTACATCTGTCACTCAGAGTAAAGAATATCCAGAATATCCCCATCTGACGGTGGCACAGCAAGTTCATCTACCTGCTCTCTGACTAGTAAGTGACCCTGGACGGCCGTGGCCAGGACCAGGTCCGCTAGTGGCCCTCAGTCCTCCAGAGCATGTTGGATCGCATCAGACAGACTGGTGCTCAACATAACCACAGGAAGTCTGATGCAGAGATTTCTCCCTACAGTGTCAGAGGAGGGGAGCTTTTAGTCACTGTAGAATTTACTCTTATCTTTCAAGAATCCCAACTCAATTAGCATTTATATAAATTCTACGTTCTTTCTAGATAATCCTCTCCCATATTTATGTGCATTGTGAATATATTAACACTCTAATTATAAGGGGGGAAGAAATCCCAAAGTGCTTAATTAAAAAAAAAAAAAACACTACTAATGTCAGTGTAATTACTAATGAAGCCAAGATGAATAGCAGACAAGTATTCATAGAGAAATCACTACCCTTATCTAGTTATAGACTTCCAGGAAATTCCTCAACTACATCAAGCAAAAAGTATAGTAAAAGTCACCAAGGTTTACTAAGTTGATGTAGAAGCTGCCCACTGCATGAAGGTAAGGCTCTGGAAGAATTAAGTGGTCTTTTTTTTGCATGCTCGGCCAGTTCAGAATTTCCTCCCCTGCAGACTGATGGTGAGAGATTGGTGCACACAGCAGACCGCAGTGACATCCTCCAACCGGAGAGCTTACACAGCACAGCGGGTCCTCCTATGGCATTTCCTCACAGACTCTACCATACACGTGCACACCAGAAACAAGTTCACGGTGCTAACGCTGATACACAGACAGCCTTCCAGGAACACGAGGATGGAGTAATCAATCGGTTTCCTGGACTGCAGCATTTCCTTATCTTAAGCCAGCACCAGCCAAAGACGCAGCCGGGCCCAGCTGGGCCCTTGCAAAGCCGCCTCCCAAGAGAGAAATCCTTCTCAGTCACAGAAAAGGATCACAACAGGTTCCCCAAACTCACTGATACAGCATAATTCTGGAGGAAGGAGGCTTAACTCCCCTAAAAACTAATGGCTTCATTATTATAAATTGCTCCCCTTTCTTAAAATTTTGCTTCATTTTGCAAAACATCAAATTCGGTAGCTTTTAAAAAGTTATTTTAATTTACTTATCAACTTGTTTATTTTGAGGCATGGCCTCTCTCTCTCTATGTGGACCAGGCTGGCCTCATTAATTCACAGAGAGCCATCTGCTTTTGTCTCTTTGATGCTGCGATTAAAGGCATTTGCCACAACACCTAGTTAAGTTTTTTTTTTTTTTTTTTTTAAACCACAAATGAACACTGACATGGTCTATTGCTATGCTGACAGAGTATGTATTGAAGTATGAAAAGGTTTATTTTGATTTTAACCTTTCAAAAAGAAAAAGAATCATATAGTAAAAATAATGATTAATATAAAAAGCAACATCCTTTTCCTTCTAAGGATTCAAACTCATTCCTAGAATATTTTTGGGGTAACCCACTTTTGCTGCCAAAAATGCTTCCTAGCTGAGAAAGGTCGCTGCATCTCAATGCATGTGCTTATGTGTACATATAAGTTCATCTATTCTACACCTATTAAAAACACATATGGACACGCATGCACACATGTACACAGCCTGGTATCCTAATCCTAACTTCCTACTGTCTGGGTGGATTACTGTTGCAGCTCTCTCAGTCTCAGAAGAAAGACTTGCAGCCAGACATGCATGACCTATCGCATCAAAGTTCCTATTATCCTCTGTCCAGCCTCATCTCCCATTGTGTGCTTTTCCAATTTATCAGGAAGATCAAATGGAGCAATATCGCACTGTGTAAGGAAGGCAGATCTGGAAGCAGGAAGACAGGAACTACAAATGTAGTTCTGCCATTTATAAGTCCACTAATGCACACACGCCTTGGTTTACTCACCTGTAAAATGGGGATGATTGATAGAATCTCATACACTTGTTGGCAGAAATGCAGTGAGAGAAAGTAAGCAGAATACTCAGCAGGTGGTTATGTCAGTGCTTAGTGAACACACTAGCTATTAATGAGGTCATGACTGGCAGGGCTTTTTTCCATAAGAGATTGTGTACACTCCATGAGTATGGGCACCATTTATATTCTAGAGATACACCCAAATCATCTTGGTGGTATCTGACATACACCGAATTCATGCATGGACTAAATAATTCTCTTTGGGTATGAAGTATGGGATAATGCTTTTTTTTTTTTTTACCTTACTGGCTCTTCAGTGAGTTCACCCATCTAACTACCTTTTAATCAAAAAGAAATTATGCTGGGAAAATAAGTTCATTAGACTGCTCTCTATTTGCCTGGGGGAAAGGAACTTAAGTGCTGAACAGATGTATCCCGAGAAGCAGCACTCAGTGACAGATACGTGAGCTGCCCAGGTGAGTTCAGGAGGAGGCCAGGGTCTCAGGAGGAGGAAGAGGAGGAGGCTGATGGCCCAGGGTCTCTATGATTATAAACTACTTTTTACTCGGGAGGAAGGGGATCCCCGGGAGAGATCTTACTCTTGGTGCCAATTGGCATTTTCTCAAAAACCATACCCTTAGGCTTACCGTTAGGTCGCACAGGAGGGCTTCGGACCAAAGGGCTGGTTGACAAGCTGGTTAGTACCATGGCCGCAGTCACCTTGTCCATATCCAGTTCCTCTGAAGACTTCCTGTAAAACAGGAAGAAGTACCATCTATTTGTGCTCACTCTATCCACGGCCCAGCAAGGTACTACAGCCTGCCACATTTGCTTACTCAAGGATCCTCGGGAAAATCCAGCGTTCTGCTAGTCGATTTATTTACACACAAGAGGCCGAGTGATCCAATCAAAGCCATATATATATATATATATATATATATATATATATATATATACACACACACACACACATATACATACATATACACACACACATATATATGCATGTATATATGTATATATACATACATACATACATACATACATATATATGGAAGAAAGGGTCTTCTTCATAGTTCGTCCACCAGCTACTACTGAGGGTGCTGACAAGCCGGGCAGACACTACATAAGGAATAGCAAACCAATCGGCAGGAATAAAAGGATCTCTGATGGTGCCAGGTGCTATGACGCGTATCAGCAGTGGACATAACAGTGCCCAAATGTCTGAGGGGTGGGTGACTTCTGAGGACTCAGTGGAGGAGGACTCAGTCCTGGGAGTAGAGAGAAGCAGACCTGTTGTCCCGCAGTGGCAGCCTGAGCTACATCAGATGAGTTCTCCAAAGAGAGAGGAGAGAGGCAGAGTCCTTTCCACTGGGCCCTGTGGCAGTGGAAGGCTTCTCTGTCTTTACTCTGTGCGGAGAGTCACTGAGCACTTTCAACAGGCCCATGGACACAACACGGTTAGCACTGGCGGAGCAGAGAGGCAGGGCTGGGAGGTGAGTATCCGGGGTGCCCAGAGGCTCTGGCTGGCGGCTCTGTGGGGTTGGTGGGTAGAATCGTGGTATCTGGATGGCTCCAGAAACAGCTTCAGTATCCCCAAGAGCCTATGCTGAGATGACAGCAACTAGACAAGAACAGCTTTCAGGATGGTTAAACTCGAGGGGCCCTCCCGCCTTCCTCTCCTCCCCTCCCCTCTCGTGAGTGTGTGTGTGTGTGTGTGTGTGTGTGTGTGTGTGTGTGCGCGCGTGTGTTTATGTGTAAAAGTCTGTGCTGGTGGGAGGGAGGGGGAGGGGCTGTGAATGCATGTGGAGGCTCCAGGTTGAGGTTGGGGACCCTCCCGTATGGCTGCTGCTAGCCAGCCTGCTTCGAGGACCTCTCGCCTACACCTTCTGAGGCTGCGGTCACAGGCGAGCACCGGGCATTGAGTTGGGTCTCTGGGGATCTGAACTCTGGTGCTTTCACCATGGAAAGAGCCATCTCCTCAGCCCTCAACCTTTGGTTTTCATTTGGTTCCCACCTCCTCTTACTCGAGGAAGAATGGGGGGTGAGGGCACAGCTACGGGGATCACCCAGTGACACCACACAAAAGGTTGCTCCGGCTTGATTCCGGCCAGTCAAGCATGAACCTGCAAGGCAGCCACCGTGGTGACTCGAGTGGGCCTGTGTGAGCTTATCTGCGCTGACAAAGTCACAACCGAGAGGCAAACATTTATGTAGTACATTGACACAGAGTAAATGACACCATCTCCCGGGAGATGAGCATCTTCCAATTAGGAAGCAGTTGAAGAAGTGCAGCAGAGGATTAATGAGACAGACCTGCAGATGGATTGTCGCTTTGACAAATGAGGCTTCCCTTCACAGGTGTGCTGTAGGGTTTGTAAAAGCAGTGAACTCTCTAGACCTCCAAACCTCACGGCATCACTCCGCAACTGAGTGGGAAAGAAATTTGTCCACTGGGAAAAAGCCAAAGAGTTCTTTGTGTGTGTGTGTGTGTGTGTGTGTGTGTGTGTGTGTGCGCGCGTGTGCACTGCCTGAGATGGTGATCTCATCATCTTGATGGCATTTAGAATCACCATGGCAACAACCTCCAGACTTGTCTGCAGGGGGAACTTACTAGATTAGGTGATCCGAGGTAGAGCATTCTATGGCTGGGGGGGGGGGGGGTTGGGGGGCAGACTTAATCAAAAAGGAAAGTGCTAGCTGGGCATAACCATGTATCACTGTCGGCTTCTAACTTCCGGTACAAGGAGACCAGCTGTTTTCGGCTGGCAGTGATGGGCTGTGCTCTCAAACTGTGAACCAAAACCAAGCCCCATCCTAGCTTTATTTGTCAGGTGTTTTGCCACAGCAACAAGACAGGCAGCTAATACACTGCTCAGTCAATTTTACTACGATGTTACCGAAATCAGTTTGGGTTTCTGATACCCAGCATGGTACTAAGTTATCATCCCAAGTTTCAACCCAAGGTATCATAGGATAATTCTTCTCAAAATCCCCAAACTGTTCCTTCGAAAGGTTAAACTATTTGTCTCAGTGGCTGGCAAATAAAAATACTTGTATAAGCGAGCAGGAGCTGGGCCAATGACACTACTTCCGTGGAAGCTTCCGGGACGATGGCATACACTCGGAAGCTGAAATCCCTTCGTACACACTCATCTGCCGTGCAAGTTTTACATTCATCATAGTGTACAGGATCCCCCACCCCCCAGGGAAGGCGGTGCTGGCTTCCTGCACAAATGGAGTCCCCTCGATGCAGCCCCAGGGAAAGGGCGAGAAGCATCTTCATGCTCCCCGGCGTGGTGTGTTGGCTCAGTTTCCCCACGCAGCCATTACTGCAGAGTGAAGCCATAGGGGAAAGGAGCCACCAGAGCCTCAAGTAACACGGCGGGGCCACATCTGGATAGGCACTTGTATGAGTGCTCCTGACAGGTTGCTCAGAACAGCCTCTTTCAGGGGTGGACAGAGGAACTGCGGAGACCTGTCTAGTGCAAGGGCTGGAAATGAACAACCACTGAACGTTCCGTCATGAATGGGAGGTCTCTATGCTCCCTCCAAGGCCCAGAGGACAAGAGCAATGCAGGGGCTGGAGGAGAGGTGAGGTGGGATGCTGTGATTAAAAGCAGCCATGAGAACCCCAATTATCCCTGCTTAAAAAACGGGGGGCGTGGCTAATGAGGTCCACCCCTCCCCGCAAGGATGTGCTGGCAGCTGATGGTGTCTGGAAGAAGCAGATGTTCTTCCTAGTATTAAGCCACTGGTAAATAACCTGTGATACCTCTCACACATGCCCCTTAGACATCGCAGAGTACTGGCTCACCTAAATAAACACATGAGTCAAATTTAAATGAGATGTTAAAGTAGAAGCAGAACGTACTGGGAAGAAAGGACCGAGGAAGGGGGACAGAGAAGGTAACACAGTATAAACATGATCAGAATACGTTATATAATGTATCAAAGTATCACAATGACACTGCCATTCCCTGTAACTAATAAACGCTAGTAAAACATTGACAAATGAATATGTTATATACATGTATCAAAGTATCACAATGACATCGTTATTCCATGCAACTAATAAACACTACTAAAACATTAATAAGCAAAAAACCATGTGGATTTTCAAACGAGAAGCAAGAATAAACACATCACTATAAACTACGCATCTATCTTACCAGCTGGCCTTGAACATTGCAGCAATCCCCCTGCCTCTGCCTCCAGAGTGCAGGAATTGGGGAAGTGTGCTGTCAACCCCAGCTAACCAGAATGTCTACGGGATTACCTTTAGGTTTTCCATTAGTACTTGGAGGCCACCGCCACCAACACACACACAGGAATATATAGATCGCCATCGCGTCACCCAGTCCTCTTAGGAAGAATTTGGATCAAGTTATCAGATGGTATAGCCGCCTTGTGCGGAGTGGTGTTTTTGTTTTTATCTTTGTTAATTCCTTTTGGTACAGTACTATCTAATTACTGATTAATTAGTGCTGCAGATTCAAATCCTTATAATTAACACTAAGAGATGATACATGAAGTAGAATGCGTGCACTGGGGGGAGATCGCTGTAAAGCCTTCCGGTAGCTTTGGAGTAGCTGAGAGGGGATGCTGGGGGCCATGCTGGGTGCCCTCCTTTAATGTGAAGCTGAGATTACTATTGCAAGCCACAGCAATCCCACACTTCCTAAAGACTCGAGTTTTACGGAACTTAGCAATACTTAGGATTACCGGGAAAGGGATAGGGACCTTCATTGCCATTTCTGTTTCATATGCCATCCAGACCTGGTGCTGAGCTGGCTTCCACTGGTGAATAGGACGTCAAGAAGGTTGAGTCGCAGCTGAGAAAGGACAGCGGGGTCATCCTGGCTTGCTGAGGAGGCTTATGGTGAGGAGGTGTTGGGAAATGGGAGGGGCTGTGTGATCTCGTGTATTCTTGCAAGCCAAGAGAAGCCAGGGACATACAAGATTACAGGGAAGGGGGAGGGGAGAAGATCAATATTTTAGAATCAGACAAAGAAGGAAACACATGGAAAGGAAAGACTCTAAAGACAGGATGCTCCGTTGAATGAGGCTTCCATCCAGAGGTTCTGTGGATTTCCCTGGATTCTAGCAGAGCCAGTCTTGACCTCTGTGGAAGACGCAGCAAAGAAACAAACAGGGAGGCAAAGAGCAGAGGATAGCTCTGCAACAAGTTAGCAGATGGCTCTGTGCCAGCCAGTCCCGTGTGGCCCCCATCTCTAAACTGTTACTTCATCTAGCCAACAGTACAAATCGGGCTTCTCAGAGGACTAAACAAGAAAATGTACATGAGCCTCCGAGTTCCTGCCCAAGTCTAAGTTCACCCGCTGGTACTGACATTCCAATCCAATGAATACACCCCCGACGTGTCTCCAAGAAAGGGGACAGGAGCAGAGTTCTCTCCAGTTTTACTCAAGCCCAGCAATAGCAGCTGTTCTGTCTCCTCTGTTCTTCCCGTTCCTGGGTGCTCTCCGTGCGTGCGTGCGTGCGTGTGTGTGTGTGTGTGTGTGTGTGTATGTGTGTGTGTGTGTGTGTTAACACCTCTCTCCATTTGGGTACTGTCTACCTTGTTCAGTTTTCTGATATGGGGTCTCTCACTGGGCCTGGAGGTAGCTAATTAGACTAGACCTGAAAACCAGGGAGCTCTAGAGATCAGCCTTTCTCTGCCTCCCCAGCACTGGGATTACAAGTGTTTGCCGCCATGCCTGGCTTTTTACATGGAGGCTAGGGAACCAC